TGAGAATGTGTCTTAGAAACCCACAGATGGGCTGCATGCGGAGGCTCATGCCTGCAATCTCAACACTTTGGGAGGTCAAGGCAGGTGGATCACCTGAGGTCAAGAGTTTGAGACCAGCATGACCAACACAGAGAAACCTCGTCTCTACTAAAAATACAAAATTAGCCAGGCATGGTGGCGCATGCCTGTAATTCCAGCTACTCAGGAGGCCGAGGCAGTGGAATCGCTTGAAGCTGGGATGCAGAGGTTGCAGTGAGCTGAGATTGCCCGGACGCAATCAGAGTGAAACTCTGTCTCAAAAAAAAGAGTGAAACTCCATCTCAAAAAAATAAATAAATAAATAAAAAATAAAAAAAAGAAAACCTACAGATGGTTGGCAAAGGCGATAACATTCAACTCCTACTTCTCTTTTCCACGTGTGGAATATGATGAAGATTCCTTTATGAAAACAAAATTATCAAAATTATCTTTCATTCCTACAGAGTTTGGTAGTCTTTGAAAAGATACCTTTTCTGTGTGATAGAGGCTGTATAGAATGGCTAGCAACTACAGGCAAAAGACTATCCCACTTTAAAGTAGATTAAATGACAGCAAAAAGAGGATAAAAGGAAACCACATCAGGTTCTTTCACTTTGTCTGTTCTTTGAGACTGAGGTAATTATTACAGATTTAAGTGGCAGCAGATGGAAGAGATCTCATATTGGAGTTTAGCTATCAAATTAACAACAATTTCTCAAAGTCCTCAAAGGGACAGTGGATACATTAACATTTCTCCATGCTCAGAATACTCCATCCTTTAGCTTCCCTCTGCACTTGGAGCTTATTGGGCTAGCTAGGGAAGCCAATCAGGATGAGTATAGGTATTTACTGCCCTCTCCTCTGGGCTCTCCTGGTCATAATAGCATTTATTATTGTTTTGTTATTGCTTATATGATTTCCTCAAGGGAATTTTTTTTTTTTTTTTTGAGACAGAGCTTTGCTCTGTCACCCAGGCTGGAGTGCAGTGGCACAATCTCGGCTCACTGAGGCCTCTACCTCCTGGGTTCAAGCATTTCTTGTGCCTCAGCCTCCCAAGTATCTGGGACTATAGGCATGTACCACCACACCCAGCTAATTTTTGTATTTTTAGTAGAGACAGAGTTTCACCATGTTAATCAGGCTAGTCTCAAAACACCTGACCTCAAGTGATCCACCTGCCTCAGCCTTAGGTGTGAGCCACCATGCCTGGCCTCAAAGGACCTTTGTAACACCTTCCCAATCCAACACAATGTTCTGTGAATTGTAGGGCACTTAATAAGCAAGTGCAATAAAAAATATTTATTCATAATGTATATACATTTTTTACAATTCATAACGCCTCTCAGTCAAAACACGGAACTGCCTTCTAATAATTCCCCCTACCATTTTGATGTTTCAATTCTCTTCAAGACAGTCTTATTTCTTCCTCTACTTCTACAAAGTAAATCTCTTAATAATCTTTTTCATTTATTTCCAAGGTCTGTGTCAAGGTACAGGTCAAATATCTTTTGTATCTTTTTGTTTTTGGTTTTAAATGAATGCCTGTTACCTCGGCATGAAAGTACATGCCTGCCATCCCAGGTACTTGGGAGGCTGAGGTGGGAGGATCATCTGAGCCCAGGAGGTCAAGGTTGCAGTGAGTCATGATCATTAACACTGTACTCTAGCCTGGGAAACAGAGCAAGACTGTCTCAAACAATTTTCAAAAAGGACTATCTAACTGTTCTTGTACCATTTGTTGAAAAAACTCATCATTTTGGGCAGCGCAGTGGCTCAAGCCTGTAATCCCAGCACTCTGGGAGGTCAAGGTGAGCGGATTGCCTAAGGTGAGGAGTTCAAGACTAGCCTGGCCAACATGGTGAAACCCTGTCTCTACTAAAAATATGAAATTAGTCAGGCATGGCGGCACATGCATGTAATCCCAGCTACTTGGGAGGCTGAGGCAGCAGAATCGCTTGAACCTGGGAGGTGGAGGTTGTGGTGAGCTGAGATGGTGCCACTGAACTACAGCCTGGGCAACAAGAGCAAACTGCACCTCAAAAAAAATCTAAATTTCTAGTGTGCAAATTAAAAATTCTGTGAATCACACAATTAGAAATCCAATTCTATTCTCTCTTCAAAATCACAGATTTTAAATTTTGGAGACAATCACCTTGGCTAGGGCCAGAAAAATATGTAAATGTAGATGGTCAGAAGACCATGTATCTCTTGGATGTGTTATATAATTTCTGAACTGGGCTAGGTGGAAGAATCAGTGCAGTTCTTTCATAGTGCAGAGAGGTGAAGTTCTAATCAAATCTGTTTCTTGATAATATTATAATCCTGAAAACAAATCTGTTAGTAAAGAAGTGGAAATTTATGATTAGGAAAACTGTCATACTATCTGTGGATTTCAATGACCGTATCCACAATTACCAAATACCACTGACAGATGGATTTAAACAGAATTAGGAGTTTGATAAGGTGTGGTAAAAGTATTGCAGTAAAGATTTTAAAGATGTTGTTTGTTTCCATTTTTGTAATGAAACTGTGGTTATATAAGATTATTGAAGCAGGCCAGGCGCGGTGGTTCACACCTGTAATCTCAGCACTTTGGGAGACCGAGGCAGACGGATCACAAGGTCAAGATATCGAGATCATCCTGGCCAACACAGTGAAATCTCTCTACTAAAAAAAAAAAAAAATTAGCTTGATGTTGTGGCATGCGCCTGTAGTCCCAGCTACTTGGGAGGCTGAGGCAGGAGAACAGCTTGAACCCAGGAGGTGGAGGTTGCAGTGAGCCAAGATCCAGGATCATGCCCCTGCACTCCAGCCTGGTGACAGAGTAAGACTATCTCAAAACAAAAAATTAATCAATTAATTAATTAAATTAAAAAAGATTATTGAAGCAGATATAATTTTATTTATTTGTTTATTTATTTTTGAGATGGAGCCCAGAATGGAGTGCAATGGCACAACCTTGGCTCACTGCAACCTCTGCCTCCCAGGTTCAAGTGATTTTCCTGCCTCAGCCTCCCGAGTAGCTTGGGACTACAGGTGCTCGCTACCATGCCCAGCTAAGTCGGGGTTTCACCATGTTGGCCACGCTGGTCTCCTGACCTTAAGTGATCCACTCACCTCAGCCTCCCAAAGTGCTGGGATTACAGGCATGAGCCACTGCACCTGGACCTGAAGCAAATATAATTAAATAGGTACAATTAAATCAATCAGAGAGGCAGGGAAATCTGGTGACTTTCAGTGTATTATCTCACTTGCATAAGTTAACACTCGGCACTTTGACTCCTACCGTGTTTTAAAAGTTCCTTTTTTCAACTTTTAAATTTTTTAAATAGTTGAGGACTAGAGAGAATTTACTGGCTATTTTAAAAGGATACATGTGGCTACGTAGGCTACCAGTGACCAGGCCACAAAACAGTTCCAATAATGCCGCAAGCAGAGGTTTAACCCACAGTTAGATAACTTTTTAAAGAAATCACTGTTAAGATATTCTTAATCAAGGTTAATGTTAGCACAAGGAAGAATAATTAGAACAGTCATTCTTTGGTATATAATTTATCCTGTCTTATATTTATCAATATGAAGCAGGTTCTGCATTTCTTAGAATCATTAGAACTAGTTCATGATGCTATTTGATAGACTTTTTACATCTCCTGCATTTCAAAGCAAGGCACTAGTTTCAGTCCATCATACCCATTCACAATCAAAACATAGTGACTCAAGCAAACAAATGATTCTCTCTCAAAATCAAATTAATAGAAATCCAATGAATAAGAGTTATAATTGTTCATTAGGATTTCATTTAAAAAACTGGAAATATTTGAATCTTTACAAAACATGCACTGGAATAATTCTGGCCTAAGACCAAGAGGATTTAAGAATGATAAAGAATCTTAAGCTTTCATGTAATTGCTTTCTACTCTACTTGAAATCAAATCGTACTTTCAATTTTACGAGAAGAAAAAAATCTTATAATCCTTTAAAATTTCCCTCTCCTTTCCTATTCTGGATTCTTGGCCATTTTATAACTCCCAATTCTTTCAAGATGATTTTTAAAAGGTAGAAAGAGAGGCAAAAGAGAAAATAAAGATTATATTAAAATAAGATATCTGGAGAGCAGATGTCAAGTAAGGAAAACAAAACATGAAATAAAGCTCAAAAAATAACACTAAAAAACCTTTGTATATTGAATAGGAACTCCTGCCTATGTTGCTTATTTCTATGAAATGAAAAAATATTTGTTGAAGGATATGAAGTAGGAGGCGGGACTTAACTCCAGAAGTGGGGCTCAGACATGAGACCAGATCGAGGACTAGCTAAAATTGGGGTGTCAGGGGAGACAGCAGCCTTCAATCATGCCATGTGAATTTACTGTTGCAATGGCAACACCTAGAAGTTACCGCCTCTTGCCGTGGCAATGACCCAATGATTACTACCCTTTCCCTAGAAATTTCTGCATAAACCACCCATTAATCTGCACGCAGTTAAAAGTAGGTATAAATATGACTGCAAAGCTACCCTGAGCTGCTACTGTCTGCTTACAAAGTACCCCTGCTTTGCAGCAGCAGTCACAGAGCTGTGACACCACTGGAGGGGTAACACTGCCTGTTCAATAAAGCTGTTTGCTTCTACCTCTGGCTTGCCCTTGAATTCTTGCCTATGCAAAGCTGAGATCCCTTGTGGGCTAAGCTTTGGGCAGGCAAGCTTTGGGGTTCACCTTCCATGCATCAGATGGACTTACAAATATACTAGTATTTGTCATATTCTTTCTTAAATAAACTTACATTTATAAATTAAGAAGTTTATAACTAGGGGAAAAGCAATCCATTAAGGACCAAAGCCTGATTACGCTAAGTAAGTTATTAAATTTTCAGCTTTATCTATAGTTTGGCATTTAAGTTAAACATTTAAACTTAAAAAGAAATTCTTTCCAGTTATCTAAAGCTCTTGGTGAAAATGTAACATGTTAGGAGAATTCTGGTTACCGTTTAAGTCTGAAGCACTTCATTCATTCTGGGGATAAAGGCGGCTTTAGCGGCTAGCATGACATTTCTTCCAAATTTCAAGGTGCTCTTGGTCTTTCCAAGATGAAGGTCCTTTCTTCTTTGCCTCTCATTCCTTAGTTTCTGAAGATAGCAATGTTTACTGTAAGAGAAAAAAATAAAGCAAAACTAGAAAAAAAATAAAGCAAAACTTATAGTTTCAAATATACTGGACATCATTTTTTAGATATTCCTAATATCACCCTCATTCGACAGTTATATAATTCATCTAATACATAAAAAATCTCTTCTTTACTTAGGTGGAGACACACAGAGAACCTCACACACTCAAGAACTCCCCATGGCATACCAAAGAACAGGTAACTTACAAGAATGGAAAGAACACTGACACCCTTGACATTTTCTAAGTCTTCATTTGATTGTTTTTGTAGAGACTTATTCTACTAGAAACATATGAATATTAATTGAATGACACATCATTAAATTAGAACTTTATAAAAATGTGATTCTAAGGGCCACAATGTTCAACTTCGGTATAGCCTCTCTAAAATATCGAAAGCAGGTATGTCCAACTGTAAATATTTCAGTAGCCACTTTGCAGTTTTAGTTTAGACTCTAGTATCATTTTTAATTTGGTTTTTAAAAATATCATCCAAAATTAAATTAATAAATGTCTGCCTATTTCTGATTCTTGGGCATCCATTTTAATGCATGTTCAAAACTGACCCAATCCCTAATTTCTTTCACTATGACACCGAACACAAGGAAAATAACTGAAAGTTATTGAAATACTATATATAAGAGGATGTGGCCAGGCACGGTGGCTCAAGCCTGTAATCCCAGCACTTTGGGAGGCCGAGGCGGGTGGATCACGAGGTCAAGAGATCGAGACCATCCTGGTCAGCACGGTGAAACCCCGTCTCTACTAAAAATACAAAAAATTAGCTGGGCATGGTGGTGTGTGCCTGTAATCCCAGCTACTCAGGAGGCTGAGGCAGGAGAATTGCCTGAACCCAGGAGGCGGAGGTTGCGGTGAGCCGAGATCGGGCCATTGCACTCCAGCCTGGGTAACATGAGTGAAACTCCATCTCAAAAAAAAAAAAAAAAAAGAGGATGTATATAGATTATATGCAAACACTACCTTTTCTATAAAAAATCTGAGCATCTGTGAATTTTGGTATGCATGGGGGATAGTCCTGGAGCCAGTCTCCTGAGGCACTGAGGATGACGATAATTCCATTTATTATAATATTCTTTTGCTAATGTGATCATATATTATACCTCTACATATATTACAAAGCCTCATAAGGATACCGTTCAACTTTTGTTTTAAAAAGTCAGCTTTCTTTTAAAGAAAGTAAAAGAGGAAAAAAAAAGAAAATCCATTTGTATTAATCATTCTTGCTGGTATTCATTTCTTCTTGTAGAACTGGGTTTCTATCTGGTATCACTGCCTTTCAAGCTTAGAAACTCCTAGTAGTTCTTATACTGTATGTCTATTAATAATAAATATCTAAGTTTTTAAAATCTGAAATTATCTTATTTTACCTTCATTTTTGAATGACATTTTCACTGGATATTGCATTTTGACTTAAAGGTTTTTTTCTTTTTCCTTACAACTCTTTAATGACGTCATTCCATAATCTTTTGTCTTCGATTGTAAGTCAGCTGTCACTAATATTACTGCTATCCTGTATTTAATGCTTCTTTTGTTTTCTGGGTATTTTGAAGATTTTTCTCTTTACCTTTTGACTTTATTTTTTATTTCTCTGAGATGGAGTTTTGCTCTTTTGTCCAGGCTAAAGTGGCAAAATATTGGCTTACTGCAACTTTCACCCTCTGAGTTCAAGCAATTCTCCTGTCTCAGCCTCCCGAGTAGTTGGGGTTATAGGCGCCGGCCACCATGCCTGGCTAATTTTTCTATTTTTAGTAGAGACAGGGTTTTTCCATGTTGGCCAGACTGGTCTCAAATGCCTGACATCAGGTGATCCACCTGCCTTGGTCTCCCGAAGTGCTAGAATTACGGGTGTGAGCCACTGTGCCTGGCCTATCTTTGGACTTTAGTAGCATGACTATTACATGTCTAGATTTGATTTTCTTTGTATTTATACAAATTGGAGTTAATAATTGGAGTTTATTACCTTGATTCTGGGAGTTATGTTTTTACCTAATATGGGAAAATTTTAGCACTTATTTCTTTTAAAAAAAATCATCCTGTCCCATATTTTCTCCTCCTCTTGGGGATTCCAATATACTTAAGTTTGACTGTTTATTATTTCACACGTTATTGAGGATATGCTCTTTTTAAAAATCTTTTTTCTCTTTATTCTTATTTTTAAAAATTTTTAAATTTTCTAACCACGCAAGGAGCAGTGAGTATTTATTATTTTGTTTGTTTGTTTTGGAGGCGGGGTCTCACTCTGTCATCCAGGCTGGAGTGCAGCGGCATAATCACGGCTCACTGCATCCTTGACTCATGCAATCCTCCTGCCTCAGCCTCTTGAGTAGCTGAAACTACAGTTACATGTCACCATGCTCTGCTAATTTTTACATTTTTTGTAGAAACTAGGTCTTACTATGTTGCCCAGGCTAGTCCTGAACTCCTGGTCTCGAGCTATCCTCCCACCTCAGCCTTCCAAAGTGCTAGAATTACAGGTGTGAGCCACCATGCCCGGCTGATATACTTTTATTTATTCATCCTTCCAACCAACCACGTATGAATTATGTACTTAGGAACTACTGTGTGAAGACAGGCAGTGTTCTAAGTACTAGAGATAGAGAAACAATTAAAATGCAAGCTTTCTGCTCTCATAGAGTTTACTTTCTAGTACAGAAAGATGGACAAATAATAAACTAATTTCAGAGATGATAAATGCTCTGAAAAAAAGAAAATTAAGTGTTACAAAGATAATGGGAACGTGAAGATGCTGTTTTAGATAGTATATAAACTAAAACTCTCTGGGGAGATGATGTCAAGTTGAAATGGAATAAAATGAGACAGACATGTAAAGATTTAGGAGTAGAGTTTTCCAGATATAGGGCACACATGTCATAAGATAAGAAGGAGTATAAAATGCTCTTTAAAAAAAGTTTCTAAATTATTAAAACAATAAAATAGCAATTTGTGAGAAGATAACCTTGAATATCACAGCACTATCATGCCCAAAATTTAAAAATTGGCCTGATTTTAAACCTATTTACTAATTATCCCTGTGTAACAACAACAATAAAATAACAATTATTTTAAATTGTTAACTTATTTTCTAACAAAGGAAATTGTCTTTGGGTTCTGGCTTTCCATTTATTTAAAGCTTCTGCTAGTACCAATTCTTATTTTTATTTCACTCTGAAAACAAAAGTTCTCCCCCTGCATTAGAAAAGAAAGAAGCTGCCTTTCTGTTTTATTTCTAGACAATGTTACAGTGTGTTGGGAAAACATCACAAAGATGTGCAAACAAGAATAGTATTCCCCAAATGTGCAGCCAGATGCAACTATGTCACCACCCATTTACGATGCAATAGCAGCACTCACCTAAATTAAACCTACGCCCTTTCTTCCAGAACTTCCATGGTACTGGATTTTGGCTACTGGTAAAGACCAACATCAACTATACATCTTAAGGAGGAAGAAAAGAATATACACTTATGATTATAGAATATGAACTGCATAGTCATTGTTCTGAAGTAGGGCTTGAATTAATGCTATGGATATAGCACCAAACAGAATAGTAGGATGCATAGTTCAACCCTGCTTCAGATAGATATTAGAAAACAAATTTGGAGCATTCCAACAGGAGGCCGACCAGAACACTAAGCCCCATCAGGTAGAATAAAGAAAATATGCTTTGAAATGTATTTTCTGTTCTAACTGGCTAATAAGGTTACGTGAAAGACATTATAGAAACACAGGTAATGCAGAAAAGAGGCTATAGTCTCAAGACTGTGAACTAAGAAGAAAAAAATCCAGAGTCTTGAGGGACAGCATGAAGTTAAATATAAGGTGAAGGGACTTTTTGTTGATGAGTACCAGGTGAACTTCATCTAAAAATGACAAAATTGAGGATAAAGAACTATGTACTAATTTGGGAACATTAACAGGATAAGCATAATAAAACAAAAATAGGGAGGAAGGAATTTAGCCTTTCGTGGCTGAAAAATATGAAATGTGCAAGCTTGGTAGTAAGACTGATTAGACACTAACCTCAATTTCCCAACTGGTTGAAGGAATTCTGACCCTATAAAATCTTTCAAACCTTTGACACTATATTATCTTTCAAAGCCCTACACTTTGTGTGTTCTTATTTGCTATTTAACTTAACAGTAGGGAATCATTTCAGGTAAAAACATCATTTAGAATCACTAGGAATCTGACAGCCTACTGAGGAGCTTTTTAATCATAAAGTAGGGGTTGTCAAGGCTTACCCATAGGTCAAATCCAACCTGCCACCTGCTTATATATGGCTTGCTAGGTAAAAATATTTTTTACATTTTTAAAGAGTTGAAAAAATTCAAAAGGAGAATATTTTGAGACATAACAACTAGATGAAATTCAAATTTCATGGTCCCTAAATAAAGTTTTATCTGAACACAGCCAGCTCATTTGTTTATATATTGTCTATGGCTGATTTTTTTTTTAAACGTAAAGGCAGAGTTAAGTAGCTGTTATAGGAACAAAATGCCTACGAAGTCCAAAATACACATTATTTGGCCCTTTACAGATAATATTTGCCAAATTTCTAACACACTCTACATTCAACATGCTAGTCTCTAAAATTTTAGAATTCATATTTTAAAAGACTGGATTAAATGGTTCATTTTAGTCCTTACATACTGGTAATGCTATTCCTTCATATTTATAATGAAGTGTTAATAATTTTATATTTCAAATTACTATCCCATAATTGAGACAATTTTTATACTCAAGAAATCCATTTTCCTGATTCATAAAATTTATTAAGTATGATATATCCTTTTCTTCTGATCAGTTTCTGATTTAGAGTTTGTAATGGGCTCTCTGCATTGAAAAATAAAGAATAGTTTCCATGGCAAACACAGTTTATTTATAACAATATTGAGAAAAAGTAAGCCAATGGTTAAGTGTTAACAATTTCTTGGGAGCTTCTGCATTTTGCAAAGGTGTTA